TGATTAACGACAGCAGCCGGAAATATGACATGGAGATAGATTACTCCTAGCACAGCATGGCCAGTGTCTGGGAAACAAACTTGAGAGACTAGAACAGAAGTCCTGACCAGATGTGATGCGAGAGAGACCAGTTTCCTGGGAACATTCTCGCTTTTATTTACAGGTCCTATATTTTGGGCACCTTAAGGCGCCTGCTTTATATGACCGGCAATGACAGCTGCTCAGTCTTGTCATTTTCCCATCCCGAATGAACTAGGAGAAGATGATGACTCGTGCGCCCAGCTGCAGAGAGGATACTGATTACTTTGGATATTGTTGTTTATTACTATGGCAGGCTTTTATTTCTCTTTATTAATGATGGAGCAGGGTCTATTTTCTAACAACTTTCACGCATGGAGTTTGAAGTTCCACCTTCCAGCTTTTCAGTATTCTCACAGTCACGTGATTCTGACCGTGGTGCCACCTTATGTTTGTATGAGAGTATGTATTTTTCTAAGATGTGCCAATTTGTATTCTTCATTTGATCCCCCACAAATCTCCACAGGGCAGATGAGCAGGTGGTGTATTCCCCATTTAAGAATTTGGAACACTGGAAATACTGAGGTTAACTTTCTTGCCCGAGATCACACATCTGGTTCCCGACACGAAAAGACTAGGTCATTCCTGTCTCCTTCTGCAAACTCTTTCAGAAACAAGATTGAGATCCTGGGGCCCCTGGGGATTGCGGTGGGCACACTCTGTGTGAGCTGGCTGCTGAACTGGTGACTGTTTCTTCTCCGTCTCCAGCCCCAGTCTTTCCCCAGGGTCCAAGCTCAGGCCCCTGCTATCCTGGCTTGTCCACATAGAGATCTTACCACCAGGTGAGCTCCACATGTCCCCTGCTGAGTCCCATCGCTTTCTGGCCCCTCCCACACCTCCTGGTCTCAAGTCCCTTATCTTAGTGAATGTCACCACCAGACTCCCGTTTGCCTTATTTCTGTTGCATTTGCCGTCGTCCAGGGCTGGGCCACCACTCCCTGAATTCCCTGCCATCATTCCTAACCCCCATACATCCTCCCCACCCACTGAGATTGAACTAAAATCTGGTCAGTCTCTTCCCTAAGGACTTCAGTGGCTTCTCTTTGTATTGAAGATGAAATCCAAAATTCTTAGCCTAGCTCACAAGTCCTCACAGACTCTGGCCCTATGCATCAGCCTCTCACCACTCGCTCTTTCTCCGTGTATTCCATTAATACTCTCGGCTTCTAGATTGTGACCTGTACTTTTTGCCTCCAGGTCCTTCTGCAAGCTGCTGCCTTTTCCTAGAGACACACCACCTGGGCCTTGCCATCATGCCCTCTCGGGAAGCTTTCCCCGCCATGGGAAAGCTCTGCTATGCCCCGGGTCTCCATTCATTTTCCTCTTTGGACCGTATTATCAGGAGAGCAGGGTTGTGTCTATCTTGGTTTCCCAACAATAGACTCAATATCCTGACTGGTCTTAGTATTACATGTTCAATTCCTCATTCTCCAAGATGTCTGTGTGGTGTAATTAGCCATAGAATGTATCCTTTCCGCCAGGCTCGGTGGCTCAGCCTATAATCCTGTGCCTTGGGAGGCCAAGGTGAGTGAATTGCCTGAGCCTGCAGGTTCAAGACCCGCCTGGGCATCTTGGGGAGACCTCATCTCTACAATAAATTTTAAAAAATTAGCTGGGCGTGGTAGCATGTACCTGTAGTTCCGGCCGGCTATTTGGAAGGCTGAGGTGGAAGGATCACCAGAGCCCAGCAGGTCAAGGCTGCGGTGGCCGCAAGCGTGCCACTGTACTCCAGTCTGGGTGACAGAGGGAGACTCCAACTCAAAAAAAAAAAAAGAATGTATCCTTTCCTCCTGTGTCATGCTTTATTCTGATTAAATGTGGTTGCTTTTTGGATGAGCTTAATAAATATCAGTAACAAACATTTATCAGGTAATTCCTGTGTGCCAAGTACTGTGCTGAGTATATTTCATGTTTTTTTGCTTCCTTAAAATGATTGTATGAGTTAGCTAAGTACTATTGTTATCCGCATTTTATGGATGAGGAAATAGATACACAGAGAGATGAAATAGCCTGCCTGGTATCACAGCAAATCAATAATAGAATTGGGCTTTGAACTCAATGCAAGTCAGTGGTAAAAGCAGTTCAGCTTATGAAAAGCAGAGTTAATATCTATTTAGGGAAATGCTTGTGAATTTTATAAGGGAATTTTTGGATTGAACATAGACTTTGAGTCAGTTTCTGTAGCTGTAAAATGAAGGAGGCTCAGTTTTGGTGGTGAAGATTAAATGAGATAACTTCCATACAATGGAGAGCATCAGGACTGGTACGTCGTAGGCTCCTGGACAATGATAGCTGCTTTTACTGGTGTTTTTTTTTTGTTGTTATTTTTTTTTTGAGTTGGAGTCTCACTCTGTTGCCCAGACTGGAGTGCAGTGGCTGCTCCCAGCCCACCACAGCCTCAACCTGCCGGGCTCCGGCCATCCTTCTACCTCCACCTTCCAAGTAGCTGGAACTACAGGCATGCACTACCACGCCTGGCTAATTTTTTGATTTATTGTAGAGATGAGATCTCACCAAGTTGCCCAGGCAGGTCTCAAACCCGTGGGCTCAGGCAATTCACTCACCTCAGCCTCCCAAGGCGTGGGATTACAGGCTGAGCCACTGAGCCCAGCTTTTACTGGTGTTTTGCCCCAAGGCTTCTACTAGCTCACCTCACTGAACTTCAGAACTTAAAGGAAGGTTTGCCAAAGAGAAAGTTGGATGTCCACATCTAAAATTCTTAGAAGAAAAATGGAATGGCTAAAGAAAAGTGCGTTTTTCAGGTAGCTTAGACTGTGTACATTTGTATGAAGTTCATTCTAGCTCACTTAATGATTATGTTCTATGCACTCCTCCTATAAGCTAATGGAGAGACCTAGAAGGTGGCTATTTTCAACACTTTATAAGTGCTGATATATTGGCCTACCACAGAGCTACATGGGACCATCTCAAGATGTTAAAATTTGTTTGTTCTCTTTGGGGGGACAAGGGGTTCAGGATCTCACTCTGTTGCCCAGACTGGAGTCACAGCTCACTGCAGCCTTGACCTCCTGGGCTTAGACGATCCTCCCCGTCCTAGCCTTTTGAGTAGCTGGAACTACAGGTACATGCCACCATTCCTGGCTAATTTTTTTATTTTTATTTTTGTAGAGACAAGGTCTCGCCATGTTGCCTAGGCTGGTCGTGAACTCCTGGGCTCGAGCATTCCTCCTGCCTTGGTCTCCCAAAGTGCTGGGGTTGCAGTCATGAACCACCGTGCCCAACCTTTAATGTATTTGCTCTTGACTCTGTATTACTTCATGTCTTTGAATTTTAAAAATAGCAAATTAACAATTACCTAGGGAATGAACTGTGGTAGATAAAATATTTGAAAACACAAAATCTGCAATGGACAAATGATTTTTTGAAAATACCCTGATGGGGTAAAATGTTTGAACTTGAACCACTATTCTTACATCTCAAATAAAGTAAAATGTTCTGTGATTAATACATTATTACTTCTTTCTCTGCTGTGTGTTGTGAGAACTTTGGTTTTTAATGATTCGCCCTCTATAAAGTGAATATTTGGCTTTATGTCATTTGATCCTCACCACAACCCTGGTGGGCAGGTTCCTCTTGTCACTTTTCCTGTGAGAACACTGAAGTCCAGAAGCGTTCAGCAACTCATCCAGCATCACGCTGCCAGTCAGCGATGGAGCTGAAATATGAATGAGCACAGGGCTTTCCAGTTCCAAAGCCTCATTAACTGTTGTAGGATAGGATGAAGGGGAAATCACAAGTGAGCATGGAGGAATTCCACAGACGTTCAGGCTGAGATTATTGGGTAGCATTTTTTAAAAATTTAGTTTCTATCTTTACAACATTGCATATGATAAAAATTTCAGATTAGTTAGAGGGTTAAATTTAAAAAACTAAACAAAAAAACTTGAGCAAAACTGGAGGGCAGATTTGAGTACTTGTCAGATTTCTCAAGCAAAGTAACTTTCTAAACTTATAGAAGTAGAAAAAAGTCACAAAATAAAATAGGAGTATATACATCTATAGTATGTAATGTTTTAAAAATTTTGAGTGTCAGCCGGGTACAGTGGCTCACACCTGAAATTCCAGCACTTTGGGAGGCAGAGACGAGAGGATTGCCTGAACTCAGGGGCTCAAGACCAGCCCGAGCAACATGGTGAGACCTTATCTTTACAGTAAATCAAAAAAATTAGCCGGGCGTGGTGGTGCATGCCTGTGGTTCCAGCTACTTGGAAGGCTGACATGGAAGGATCACCTGCCCAGCAGGTTGAGGCTGTGGTGGTCGTGAGTGTGCTACTGCATTCCAGCCTGGGCGACAGAGTGAGACTCCAACTCAAAAAAAAAAAAAAAAAAACTAAGTGTCAAAACAAAAATATAGATAAATCAGCAAAAATTAAGAAATAACAATACTCAGTCCTGGCAAGGAAACTGTCATATATTGCTTGTGGTGCGATAAACTAGTAAAGGTGCTTTGCTGGTTTGACAAAAGTATATAAGGCATAAAAATGTCAAACCTTTGCAGTAATTTTGCTTCTGGAATCTTTTGTAATGAGTAATCTAAGCTATGAAAAATGGTATTTCCATGAAAATATTTTTGCAGTGTTTTTCATTAAACCACACATTAGGAAAAGAATCTCAAAAGGAAAAGATGTTCAATATGAGGATGGTGGTTAGTCAAACCACTAGGTGAAATGTTATATAACCATTATTATCAGTGATCATAAAGTGTGCTTTTGGTGTAAAACAGTGGGAATGAAGGCATTATCATCTTTTTCATTTATGTTTTTACTGAGGTTATGGCTATAGAAAAGGTATGTGTCATAAGATGAAATAGTATACATTAAAATCTTAATCGTGATTTTTCAGGTCGTGGGATTAAAGTAGTTTTCTTTGCTTTATTTTCTGAACTTTTTTCTGACCCACAGGATGGCTTTCCAGATTACCAGGATTCCATGCAGACACTTTTCCAGCAAGCAAGAGCCAAGAGTGAAGAGCTCGCGGCTCTGAGTTCACAGGTAACTATACAACTAGTTATTATTTCATGGTAATATCTTTAGGTTAAACATTCAATGACTGCCTCTGCTAGCTCCATTTAAGTGTCTTAGGACTGAATTTATCTCTAGTTGTTTTTTAACATCATTTGATCCAAAGCTGAATGAACAAGATAGCAATAACAGCTTGGTTTGATTTGGTTTATGAACGGAATGTAATACAGTGCTACTTATTTATTCTTGCAATTTTGCAGGAAATGAGAGAGATTTTCTAGTCAGGAAAACTCAAAAGAAGCAGTTTGGTATCAGGAAAACCAGTCATATTGCCCATGGTTGTGTGTAATACAACTCTGAGGTAAAATAGTACTAGTTCTCAATCAAACATTAATAGTCAGCATTATAATTATTGTTAAATCCTTTAAATTTATATCTATTAGAAAATTGTTAATATATGGCTTCAGATGTTTGTTCCATTAAGTTATTTAATTGTATGTATACACTGAAATTAACATTTTTTAAAGTTCCTTCTGCAAACACTACCTTTTCAGAAGCACTGTAAAATTTTGTTCCTGTTGAGCTTCTGCCTAGCAACTTGGTTTTGGTCAAATTTAGGACTGCCAAGGTTTGTTTTTTCATGTTAGGATGAAAATTACATTTTTTCCTTAGGAATGCTTGTTGAAATTTTGTCAATTAACCAGGAACATGTTCAAATGAAGTGAAGTTATGGTTGATTTTGATTTGGTTTATGAACATTCAGAAAAATAGTATGCTTATCCTGTTCTGTGAATGCATATGTTTCATCTGTTAATTTTTTCATTTTTATTTTTTTAGTATTGTGAATCGGGACGTTTTGTAACCAATTTTCTAGAGCAGCCTTCTTGTGCTACTCTTTTCTATAGCATGGTAGAAATTCATATCTGTGCATTTTGACTGTTACCTCCTTGGCGAAAATAACCACAAATACACTGCTTTGAATATCACATATGAGTAATTTAGAGCAGCGTGTAGAAAGGGAACATATAAAACACATGCGGAGATAAGCTATATGTCAGCCAACTCATTGTGCATTTAAAAACCTGTCTTATGGATTGGTTGCGATCCACTGCAATTTTGTACCATGGTGAAGGTGAAGATGCTCATTGACACCAATGTCTTGCATCACTTATATTGTTTAATTTTAGTGGGAGGTGTGTTTGTCTTGTTCTTCTAGACAGCTGCTTTACACCTTTTCTCCCCCAAACATACTGTCATCAGAGTCTGTAGTGCTAAGCCCTAAAATAAAAATGCCAAGATTTAATCCTGTGTGCTAGATGTAGTTTATAGAAGCAGATGTTGCTTGTTGCTGTTAGGTTTCTTTTTTTAAAAAAAAAATCCTTTAAAGGACTCACTACTTTGGATAACAAAGCTAAGTTTATGTTGATTTTGAGCTGAGTTGGAATTGCCTTTGTAGAATTGAGAAGAAAGCTTTTATCTTTTGTACAAAATCCAGTATCATGCTATAGATATCTGTGCATATTTATGGGATTTATATACCCCATGAAGTGTGAGCTAATTTTAATGAATACTAAATGTATATTTGCTGGAGTCTGAAATTGGCATCTTTAAATCATTAAAACATCGAGAATGTTTTAGTTACCATTTTGCTTTACTTCCTAGCAGCCTGAAAAGGTAATGGCAAGGCAGATGGAGTTCCTCTGTGCCCAGGCTGGTTACGAGAGACTGCAGTCCACTGAGAGAAGGCTATCTGCAGGGCTCTACCGGCAGGGCTCCGAGGAGCACAGTCCGAACGGCCTGGCTTCTGAGAGCGCAGAGGCACAAGGTACATCTTTCACATGTCCTGAGCCTTTATAGCTACTATATGCATGTCAAAGGGACACCAAAAAAGTGGCTGATTTTTAAATCATCATATTTTATAGAGACTATTTTATAGACTCTCTATCAAAATTAATTTTTAACTTGTCCCTTTTTTAAAAAAGGAAAGACTTCATCCTGCATATTTTAATTTATAAATGTTATAGACCGTATAATTACTAAACGGTCGTTGGTACATGGGATTGACTTGCATTATCCTGTATAGGATGGCTGAGGATGGGAAATGTAAACAGTGCAGATCATTTTCCCCAAAGAAGCAGATTCCATGGGAGATGCTTATCCTTTTAAAACATTCAGAAAACAGATTTGTCTGTGAAATTTGTAACATTTGGTTCTTAAAAGAATATGGTAACTGCTTCTAAAGTATTATGACAGGGTACAACTCTTAGATTTAAAAAGCTGTGTGATTCGTGAGTGTTTTTACTGGTCTAAAAATTAGTCATTTTTTTCATGTCTTCACATGAAGAAATCTCAAGTCATTGTTATTCACACATTCGGCATATCTGTCCTTTTGCTGTGCATCTGGTTTCCAATAGCTATCAGTGTTTGAAGAAAAACAATAATTTTATAGTGCCTTCTTATTATTGTTATACTTTAGTAGAGAGTGGTTACTATTGCCAAAAAATATTTCTAAGTAAAAATACCATCTTAGCAAGCACTTGCCAACCACGGAATGAAATATTACATGCATCATAGGATGAGAATACTGGAGAAGAAAGTTCTTCTTTCCTAAAATATTACAGAAACTTTTTAGTTGAGATCTTGTTTAACTTCTTCAGTTATCATTGACAGTTAAGGACCAAAGGCAATTATGAAAGATTTTATGACTCTGATTTGTGACATCAGAATAATTTCATATAGGGTGAGACTTTGCTAATAGGATGGATTTCTATTTATGGCAGAATATAATTTGATGTATAAAGCACTTGTTTTCCATATCTCCTAATTCTGTTTGCTCACGGATTTTGCTGTAGGCTTTTTTTTTTTTTGAGTTGGAGTCTTACTCCATCACCCAGGCTGGAGTGCAGTGGCATGCTCACGGCTACCCCAGTGTCGACCTGCTGGGCCCCAGCGATCCTTCTGCCTCAGCCTTTCAAGTAGCCCGAACTACAGGTGCACACTACCAGACCCAGCTAACTATTATTTATTGTAGAGATGAGGTCTCGCCAAGTTACAATAAATCGAAAAATTAGCTGGGCATAGTGGTACACGCCTTTAGTTCCAGGAAGGCTGAGGTGGAAGGATCACCTGAGCCAGTCAGGTAGAGTCTGCAGTGGCCGTGACCGTGCCACTGCACTAGCCTGGGAGACAGAGTGAGACTTGGACTAAAAAAAGGAAAAGCATGGTGTATTTTTTTTTGAGTTGGAGTCTTACTTTGTTGCCCAGGCTGGAGGGCAGTGGTACGCTCCTGGCCACCACAGCCTTGACCTGCTGGACTCAGGTGATCCTTCTGCCTCAGTCTTCCAAGTAGCTGGAACTACAGGCATGCACCACCACGCCCAGCTAATTTTTTGGATTTATTGTAGAGATGAGATCTCGCCAAGTTGCTCAGGCTTGTCTCGAACCTGTGGGCTCAGGCAGTCCTCTCACCTCAGCCTCCCAAAGTGCTGGGATTATAGACGTGAGCCACCACCTTGCCCCACCTGGTGTATTTTAAACGGTATCCATGTTTCTTTTTATTAGGAGAAAGACCATTGAATCTCCAAATGCCTAACCTGCAGAACAGACAGCCCCATCATTTCATGGTGGATGGGGAACTGAGCAGGCTCTACCCCAGCGAGGCAAAGTCCCACCCTTCAGGTGAGAATGTGGTGTGTGGTGAGAGAGAAAAGCACCTGGAAATTTATTCTACACTCACTGCCCCTCGCCCACCAAAACATCATTACAGACAATGTGGCTACAGGCTGGGTACTCCTAATTGCACTGAAATGGCACTCAAAGGAAATGTTCTGTGGAACATTGTGGTTTTCGGATTTGGGATGCTGAACTCGTAAGTATAATGCAGATGCTCCAAACTCTGGACAAGTTCAAAATCCAGAACAGTTCTGGTTCCAAACATTTTGGATAAGGGATGCACAGCTCTCCTGTTTCTTTCCACCTGGAATGATAGATTGTTACAACACTGGCTAGTCCTTTTGAGAACTTAGTATTCCAAAAAGTAGCAGGGAAAACTCATGAGGGTTGAGATGATTTAGATTAGCTATTACCTGAATGGTGACTTCTATACAAAAGTTTAAACTGAATAATAAATACCAGATTTAAGTTATATCATTGCCCTTTTCTGACAGTAACCTTATATGCAATTGAACATGTTTGCTCTCACTAATAAAACCTTGTGTACCAAAATCTCAATTTTTCATACAGATACATTTTGGGGGTCATATTCATATTTCAGAAATAAACTGAATGTCAATGGTAAAAGTAGTTTTACAAGCATCAGAGATAAACCTGACTTTACATCTGTTAACCTACATAGAGTGAATTATGTATCACTAGGGTAAAAAAATGCTATCAAGAGACTTTATGTCTTCCTGTTTTAGTTCATGCTCCTAATAGCAAATGCTAAAAAAGCCAAAGTCCTAAGTAATATTTTACTGCTATGACTCTAGTGTGCTATTGCATATTTGATTCTCGCTACTTGAGGAATGTCAAAGAGAGATTGAGAAATTGAAATTATTCTAAAAAGATTATATCCTGGTCTTGTGTTTTCCACAACATGAAAATGTGGCCTATTCTTTCAAGTTTTTCAAAGATAAACAAGCCAAAAACCACTTTCTACCAATGTATATATATTTTTGAAGACTCTATGTAAACCAGTTATGTTAATTACATGTGTCTCCTCTTGGGGACATGCTTTACATCTCTGCTGCATAGAGATGAGGTTGAACTGTTTAACTTCTCCAGTTATCGTTGACAGTTAAGGACCAAAGGCAATTATGAAAGATTTTTTTTGCAAAACAGAATGAAGGAATACCTGAAAAAGCCTTTTTTATTGTGTTTTAATTGGGTAGAAATAATATAGGTTTCATATAATCCTAACCTGGTTTAGACCTTAGCCCTCATACTTGACTGAGTAACCCTGACTGAGTTTCTTAAGCGCCCTGTCCCTCAGTTGCTTCATCTGTAAAATAAAAATGATTTTTCCTGCCGGGCTCGGTGGCTCAGCCTGTAATCCCGCGCCTTTGGGAGGCTGAGGTGAGTGGATTGCCTGAGCCCGCGGGTTTGTGACCCGCCTGGGCAACTTGGCGAGACCTCATCTCTCCAATAAGTCAAAAATTAGCCGGGCGTGGTAGTGCGCGCCTGTAGTTCCAGCTACTTGGAAGGCTGAGGTGGAAGCCGGAGCCCAGCAGGTCGAGGCTGCGGTGGCCGGGAGCGGCCACTGTACTCCAGTCTGGGCGACAGAGTGAGACTCCAACTAAAAAAAAAAAAAAGATTTTTCCTCCTTAGAGTAGTTATGAGGATTAAACAAGATAGTGTGGATGAACTGTGTGGCTAGCAGGACCCAACAGCTACATTTTTTATTACTTTTATGCAGAATTTGATATACCCTTCTTGGCTAGGTGTGGTGGTTCATGCCTGTAATCCCAGCACTTTGGGAGGCCAAGACTCACTTGAGCCAGCCTAGGCAACATAGCAAGACCTCATCTCTACAAAAAAAATTAAAAAACTAGCTGGGCATGGTAGCACATGCCTGTAGTCCCAGCTACTCAGGAGGCTGAGGCAGAAGGAGCGCCTAAGCCCTAAGGATCGAAACTACAGTGAGCTGTGATCGTGCTACTGCACTCCAGCGTGGGATAGAGTGAGATCCCAACTCAAAAAATCCTCTTCTGTTTAGAGAGGGTAGTTTCATAAATTGAGCTACCTAGTTTCAGACAAACTGTTAGCATTTGTTACCTCTCTAGAATTCCTTCACGGTATGTGTGTGTATGTATATGTGTACACATGTTTGCGTGTGTGTGTGTGTGTGTGTGTGTGTGTGTGTGTGTATAATATATATATATATATCTTCTCATATTAGGACTTTGCATAATGGTTACATTTTATTGTCATTCTGTAGTGTTTGGGTGAGGTTGAAATAACTGTACACATGTAACTCCATGAAATGCTTTCTTATGAAAGTAGAATCTTTTATTTTATTTATTTATTTATTTATTTTTTGAGTTGGAGTCTCACTCTGTCGCCCAGACTGGAGTGCAGTGGCCGCTCCCGGCCACCGCAGCCTCGACCTGCTGGGCTCCGATGATCCTTCCGCCTCAGCCTTCCGAGTAGCCGAAATTACAGCCGTGCGCTACCACGCCCGGCTGATTTTTTGATTTATTGTAGGGTTGAGGTCTCGCTGCCCAGGCAGGTCTCGAATCTGTGGCTCAGGCAATCCAGTCACCTCAGCCTCCCAAAGGCGCGGGATTACAGGCTGAGCCACTGAGCCTGGCTGAATCTTTTATTTTTTTATCCCTATTAATCTCACCTTAATATGTCATTGCTAGAGGAACTTTTAACAATATTTCCATATTTCAACATTGAAGGTTTTTTCTGTCTCATTTCTTCATTGACAGTAAGTATTTTAACTAATAACAGTTACACATGAGTAATCTATTTTATTTTGTATATTATTTTGGACAATGCATTAAATAAAAATTGATATGTTCTACATGCATTTCATTATTTAAATTTCATGCCATTTTATAGATGAAGACACTAAGGCTGAGAGAGGGTATAACTTGCTTAGAAATGTATAGTTAGTAACTGCTAGAGTTGGAATTGAAATCCAAAATCCGATCTCTTAACCATAGTTCTGTTAACAAAAATTTTCTATGGAATTGCAGAATCATGAATTAAATTAATGCTGTTTGCTGTGGAGTTTAGGAGTTTGTTTTATAACTTTGATTTTTGTAGTCCATTGATTTAAGAAATCGGCACACTTTGTGTTTTCATTTTTATGCAGAGAACCTTGGGATTTTAAAAGACTACCCTCACTCAGCTTTTACCTTGGAAAAGAAAGTCATCAAAACAGAGCCTGAAGACTCAAGATAGCTGTGATTCTCCCACTGTTCTTTGGAAATGGCATCAGATTTAAGGATAATACTCCATCATAGAAACAAGCCTTAATAACCAGTGTTGCCTCATTCAGCTCAAACAGATTTCATAGCCAAAGCAGAAGGAGACCAGGAAGATAAAACATCAGCCACAAATGAGAAAATCAGGAGAGTGTTGCAATCTGTAACAGAAATAGCGATTCATTCACATTCCTGTGTAAGTTGTTTTATGTGGAAAGGCTTACAAATTAATATTGTAAGCATTCATTATTTAAGAATGTACAATGTATTTGTGTAATTTATAGAAGTAAAATCTAGATGTTGAGACCCGTTTGGTCCAATTGATGTGGATGCTGTTTATTTTACTTGAAATTTTGTTGTCTACTTTGTATGTTTAGCGTAAATATTAAAAGTCAGAGTTTAGAATCTTTGCAATCATGAAAAAGAAAACTTAAGCTCTTGACAGGATTGCAGTGACTATGGAAAAATGGAAAACAAATACTCAACTTAAACCAAGGAAAATATTGTGGGTTTAATATTAGAGAAAAGTGATTTTGTTTAACAGGAAATGTGTAGTATTCATTCCTATAATATCTGGTTATCAGTGCACATTTACACAATTAATAAATACTGCAGGAAAGTTAAAAAGATGAGCAATAGATTAAAAGTATCTCTTATCTGGTTGACCCAGGTGGTATTAATAGCTACTTAAAATGTATCAGAGAAGATAGGAAGCTATTACTTAGAATCTTGAAACAAATGGACCGATATGTAAAAGCTTTGACTTAAATGTTGATATTTTAGAATGTATTAAGTAGATTAAGACATAGTAATTTAACCCTACATATGATAAAGATGGTGACTGTCAGCAAAGGCTATAATAGATTAAGTACTGTTTTATATTCAGAAATTCTTCTCTGGGAACAGGAGTCAGAAACCAGATTCTTTCCCTGGAATATCTTCCCAGTCAACCATCCAGTCACCGCAGCCACGTCTGCAGGCATAGTTCTTTGGAAATTTAGTCGCCACCTATATTCATTATTTATTTTACAATTTCATTTTTGTACACCTTTCCAATTTGTGAATGCAGTTTTTTATTAAAATTCATTTTAACTTGACAATATATTTTAATTCCCCCTATTAATAGACTGTGCATATACATAGGGGGTGTGCTTAAATATTGATAATGTACTTGCGTCCTTATGAGAATTTCACATTGGAATCCATAGTGATTAAAAAAAAATACATCTGCCAATATACATTTTTTTCTGTTGGTTTAAGAGAAGATATTTGACAGCTTTACCTACTTCCTACAAATTCATCTAAACTCAGATATTGCCGAGAAGAGTATATTGTCATGGAGTATGTGGTTTTTGGTTTTCAGTTCTGCTCTAGATCATATTGTATACAAAATATTAAGTCATTATTATATTAAAGTTCGTCAGCCAAATGTTAGATGAAATGTCTGCACTGTAGTCTCAGATCACTGTCCTTCTGTAGTTGCTTTTTCATTTTGATTTGTAGAAGAGCTTTACAGTAGACATACTAGCAAACAACTTTTATACTATTAAAAGGCTTTTTTCCCTTCTTACATGTTCTAATTGTACCATAGTGTTTTGGCCACTTGAAGAAACTTCTTATGGACCTTGCAACTTTGTTGCTAACTTGAGGTTGATTATTGTGGTTGTATTGTTCACTGTATGTAGAAATAGTAAGAGTATGATTTAAATAGACTGTTCGGTTTTTAATATTAGCCATAGCACTGGTTAGTATCTCAGTAGTTTCATGAAACGTTTTCTGTATTCTAATCTATTTTGAGAAATTTTGTGGTTTTTTTTTTTAATTGTGTCTTACAGTCCAAGTTTGTAGATTTTAATAAGCAACAATTTTTAAAGATGCAGTAATCTTCCAACTAATATTTATTCATCTTTTGTGGACCCACAGTTTGCATCTTTAATTCCATCAGTAAGTTTCCTTATGTGTCATACTTTTTGGTCTTTCCAAGAGCTTATTGGCATTGGGGAAGCACAAGAAACAATTTCAGTAGAATACAGTTTTTATTTTGTAAACACTAATGTATTAAACTTGCTATACATTAAAGCAGATAATATATATTTTTATTTGAATTGTACATATGAGTTGGATGTTATAACTAGTTGGGTTTTTTTTTTTTCATTTTGTTAGAGGTATTTTCACTGAACAAAGTCAATTGGTTACCTCAGTATTTCAGCCAGTACAGTCCAAGGGACCGTTTCTCCCCGAGTCGTTGTTAGACTTCCATGTGTGATGTCCACGTTTTTGTGACTCGTCGAGCTGTTGGTGAGGTGGGACGAGTACACTTGCTTCCTGTGGCAATAAAGATTTTCTGTGCCTCACACGTTTATGTGTATAGCACTTTCTGCATAGCACTTCCCACAGTGGGTAATCTGAACCACTCTGCCTCCCTTATCTGGCTGTGTGGGCTAGGCTTGGGTCTTAGGGAACAGGAGCTTCTGTCCTAAGTTGTGACTCAACGTTGTCAGCTGCCTTTATTTCTAAAAAGTTATTTGGTCTGTCAGAGAGAGGGGTCAATTTATATTGTTCTTATTTATGAGGGATTTATAAAGACCTTTTTTAAAACTCCACCATTTCTAACCAACTAAATTAAAAAATAAAAGGAAGAACATTGGGATTTAACATTTATAATATATTGCATATTTATAAAATGTTCATGTGATTTGGCCTTCGTATTACAGGCTAAACATATGAAGTTGAGCTAAGCGGTAGTGAAGAGCTAGGGAGAGCCTTGCAACAAAGTTTTAACTGATGGGTTCTGTAGATTAATCTTTCAGGAAGAGTGTCTGTGCCAAGTACTACTGGGCTAGAGGTCAGAGCAGCAGTGAAGGCCACAGATGAAACATCACACTTGACGTCTACCCAAAATCTGGTTGATTGGGAATACTCGTATAAACACACAAATTTTATTGTGTCACATACTTGGGATGAATGAGGAGCTGACATTTTAGTGCATTCTATATTGTGTGATATCATGGTAGCAGGTGCTTTATAGGTGAAAGGAAGCACATTTAGCAAGTGAGACTCAGAAGAGATCAGTAGGACTGAAATAATTAACATTAAGAGGTAAGATTTGATAAAAAGTTGTAGTGGTAGTACATTTCACCTTGGTTGCCTTTTATTTTGGTTAAAATATTGCAGATTTTTTGTTTTTGAGTCAGGAGTTTCACTCTGTTGTCCAGGCTAGAGTGCAGTGGCACAATTACACCTCACCATAGCCTCGACATCCTGGGCTCAGGTGATCCTCCCACCTCAGCCTCCCAAGTAGCTGGAACTACAGGCATGCACCACAGTGCCTGGCGAATTTTTTGATATTTTTGTTGAGATAAGGTCTTGCTATGTTGCCCAAGCTGGTCTTGAATTTGGGCTCAAGCAGTCCTCCCGCCTCAGCCTCCCAAATTGCTGAGATCAGAGGTGTGAGCCACCATGCTTAGACTAAAAAATAATGCAGTTTAATATTGAGGCCAGTTAGATCTGCTTGTCAGGGTAATTTTGACCATCCCATTGAACCTGTCAAAAGGCAGGGGGAAAAGGTGTTTTTCATCTGTCCTTAATTCATAAACCACTTAGGTAAAAGCTTTAGGTAAGGATGAGTTTGCCAGCACCTAGTGTCCCTTGACAACTATAGTTAATAGTATTTAAGGCTTAAACCCTAAATAAGTGTGCAGGAAACTTCCTAATGTAGGGTCTGCTTACAGGGCTACTTAGTTGGTTAAGTGTTACCCATACAGTCCCTGTTTTGCCCGTGACTTCACTTAATGTTTACTGTTGAATCTTCAAAAGAAAACTAAGACTGAACCTGACAGAACCAGGAGGCCTGCCTATTTTAGGAGATGAATTCAATGAATAAGTAACTGAAGGTAGAATGGAACATACATTTTATGTTTGTAACAGCTTGAAGGATATGACCAAAAATGGTAGTTGCAGTTTAACTTCAGCCACCTTCTGGCCCAGCTGTGCCCGGGTGGCATTTCAGGGAATGTAAGCCTATTTATCTGCTATTTTCTGTGGGTGTCCTCATAAATGAGATTCCCAGGTGGGCCTCCAAAGTTAATAAAAGAATAATCCAATGTCCTCACATTTTTAAAAATTGTAAATACAACTTGATCTCAAAAACCTTGCTGTTAACTATTTCCTTCATGACCCTATGAGATGATTGTTATTTTGCATCAAAGTGATCAAAAGCTAAATGCTGAAGCTCAGATTTTTCTTACTCTGCATATGCAATGGTTAAACCTTTAAAACTTCTTGGGCATCTGTTTCTACCGAGCCATGATTTTTTTTTTTAATCACCTCAAAGTTGTTTTTTATTTTTTGTGCAGAAAAGCCTAAACAGAAATTTATTTTTTAAAGTTCATTATCAACTGATTAAAGTTAGAATCCAAAATGTATTATGTTTAAGGCTTTAAGTTCAATTTATAAATCTTTTCTATTTGCAAATTTAGCAAATTTTAACATCACTTTTAAGAGAACTTTGACTAATGATTGGTCCATTTGCAAAATTGGCTAATGAAGCTCCTTTTCTGACAGTTTTCCCATCTGTTAGGGCCACACAATTCTTTTTTTTTTTTTTTTTTTTAATTTTAAATATGTGGGGTAAAATTGAGGGGTACTACTCAATATCTTCAATGTTGAAAATCAGTATAATGATTTTCAGTCCATGTATAATAATATGTATGTACAACCAGGACTCTTACATCTGCATTGGTTAATATAGTAACACCTAGCAACATGTGGGTATTAAGCACATTAATTACATCTAGTGCAACTAAATAAAGTCATTGAGATTTTTTTTGTTTTAATTAAATTGGTATAAATTT